CCTTTTAAAGGGGTACCATATCCTAAAAAAAACAATCAAATAAAACGAAACGAAACGTCGGCGACGGACGATGTGTGCACAAGGGGCACCGGTCGTATGGATTGCTCGTACGGTTTGCGCCAGAGCATATATTTTAACATTTAAAGTACGTGGCACTATATCAGCGATTCCCAAAGTGTGTTCCGCGGAACCTAAGGGTTCCGTGGGATAATCTTGAGGGATGTACCTGATTATCGAGAACAGTAATTGTAGTAAACAATAATCAAATAATCAAAAATTAAAATATTTTTTTTTTGGATTATTGGTTTTTCAATAATAAAAATAAATGCAAATACAAACAGTTACAGAATTGGTGTAGAGTTGGAGTTAGAGAAGTTGGAGTTTTAGGGTTCCACGAGACAAAAAATAATTCTTAAGGGTTTCGAGGTCGTAAAAGTTTGGGAACCATTGTACTATGGTGTCGTAACCATCTCAAATCTCATATTTCAAAGTCCGATTTGTTAAGGGTTATTGGCCACGGTAATTCATTTCATATATAGGAAATGGCAGTTACAATTGTGAAAAAAATAAAATTAATATATATATATATAAGATAATTGTGACTATAATAGTAATAATAATAATAAAAAACTAAATCGCCTCATCCATTGACAAAGTTTTCTTTTTTTTATGACCTCGGTTCACCTTTGATCTCAGTAAATGTAATAATACAATACAATTATTGTATTTAGTGTGAAATGATATGCGTCGTCGAGTTGGTTAAATATGAATTAATTTTTTAATGAAATTAATATCCATCAAGACTACGAGTACCAAGTCAGAGTTATTTATTTTATATCAGCCTATCGGCTCATAATATAAATTTTGAACGTTTTTGATAAAAAAAAAAAAGATGAATATAATTAGGTACACGTTATCTCGATGTTGATTGTCACGTATTCTTTCGTCCGTAGCGAATTATACATTTTTTTTTTTTTTATAAGACAATAATCAATAATAATGAGACCGGTATTACGTGATTATACGTTAAATGACATGGTTATAATAAAAGCTTATGTGGTTATACATATTTGTAGTAATTGCAATATCCAAGTGCGTGTAATAGACTTATCATATTATAGAAGATAAACATTAACACTTGCGGCCGATACAAATAACGCGGTATATGTATTAATATTCTACGTCGTAAAGTATAAGATAAGTATAAGGAGGTTGATGAAATTGTTAACTGGATTTTACGCAAATGAAAACATAATTGATAGAAGTATATTATTATTTTCATTTTTTACTCGTCACCTTTTTATGGCTCAACGGGCCCGTTTCGCAAAAGATATAATATATTCGGGACGAAAAACGCAGGCACCGAAGGTTCGAAGAAACCATCGGGATGAGTTTTTCATCTGAAAGATTCGATCTCTCCGTATATTAAGAGTATACCCTCTCGCCCTGTAAAGAAACCGCCCGACAGATTTATGCGCATGTAAATCGAACTACGACTACTATTTGGTTTCCTCGAAAGTAGGTTTACTCGGATGAAAACAGATATAATGTAAAATATTTAAATCAGAATATTGTAAAATGTCGCGTCACGATGCTCGTAGGTTATTACTCTAAAAATCACATACGTGTATCTAAAATGACTGAAATGCACATGGTGTTTTCGATGCAAATGAATTCGTTTTAACTATGTATGTTCGTTTTTTTTATTTTGCAATAGAGATTCATCGTTCGACTCGTACACTTGATATGTAATAACGGAAACGTGATGGGATTTTGATAATATTTACATTATACATTTATTTTGAGGTTGTAAGCTCGTAACCGCAGTAGATAATCAAAATATATCAAAATATTCGTTTGAAACACTGTTTTCTGGTGTACGGAACAGATTTAATCTTAACCTACCGCTATTATTTTACCCATGTGCACTCAACTCTCAAAATTCTAGATTGAATTTTCGATTCAAGTTTGTAAAAGGCAATACATACAATAGTATCGAACAGGTTTATTTCGGAATTTCGACGAACGTATTAGTATGTTGTTTTATTTTTTCATGAAGTAAAATAAAAGGTATTTTTTAACTTGCAAAAAATGAACAATTTTTCTAGACACTAACCGTTTGACTACAACCATTCATTAATTTCTTTAAGTGGCCAGCTACATTATGTTAAGTTAAAACCTATTGTTTCGATGTCAAGTTAAAAATAAATAAAATAAAAAAAAAACTAAAACGTTTAATTTAGCTAATAACGGATTCGTTTTCGTGCGGAGCACTCGATTTTCAGACGCAATCGGTTTTAATTATTTAAACATCCTAAACGATCATAGTGTCTATAGTGTAAAACAATACCGTCAAAATGTTGGAACTCAGTAACAACCCATACACTTTAGTTGCAAAAATCTAACCTAACCGCTGTTCTTGACAATGATATTGGAATACTAATCGGGTTACACTGTAACACTGCAAGACAAAGCGATACGTTGCGAAAGTCCAAACACTCGTGAACGGACGATAATCTAGCGTTCCGAAACTGATGAAACAAAAACGGTCGGTTGGAAATCGAAACTCCTCGGTAAACCCACTGATTGCCCACTCGTTGCCCACTGATCTGCGCGACGACGAAAACATACACACAAAAACGGTGTGGCAAAAACGTGATTCTGTCGTGCAAATTATCGTTTGTCCGCGGGCACATGTCGTCGTATTGCAGTAACGCACTCGATCAATACAACATCGTATACCGTTCTTGCAGACGGTTATTTAATTACGTCGGCGGAGGCGACTTGACCAATACGTTGCGCGCACGTGTGCGGAATAAATTCATCCAATTATTATGCAAATCGCGGCTGCAGCTGGCCGGGAGAATGCACAACAGTTGTACACGAATAAATTATACAACGCGCGCGCGGTACTCCTAACTGTACATTATATTCTGTTTGTTTTTATAATTTTCCCGCGGTAATGACCTCGGATACGGGTCGTGCGCAGCTCGCGGTTTCCGAAAGCATCGACGAAAATCGAGCATCGCGGCCCAGTTCCTTACTGCCGTTCGAACACCGCAATAACAATGTAAGGCGGACGTTTACTCTCGTCCCGCGGTAAGGGCGTCAGTAGTATCGATCGATCATGTAAGAAGCGGCATGACGTTTTTTCGGATTTTTTCTTATCCTTTTCCATTTTATTCTGTTCCTTTTATCCGTCCGAATTCGAAACGCGCAATTTAAACCGATTATTTCCGCATGCATGCAACTATACGGTCGTAAGCACGGTTGCAGGCCGTAAGAAAGGGAAGGAGCTTCCTCCCGGTGAACTCTGCTCCTAGAATATTGTAATCACGTCCAGATAATCCAGAATGGTCTTCGTTGTTTCGTGATTGCTCTGGTATACAATGTTACACCGTCATTTTGATTTCGAGGACTGGAGAATGATTTCGATAACGACCTAAAAAGTTCTAAGGACCTTTGCAATTAAAACAATAACTGTGAGCCGTTCAACTAGTGTAAAATTTAAATTAGTAAAAAGTAATTGTAAAGTTTCGAAGCGAAAAATAAAATTCTCTAAATCATAAACACTCGTGCTCGGTCACCAGACCCCGAGAAAAACGTTTTCCTTACTACCCTCGCCTCCGTGCTACGTAGATTTTTATCGTTTTCCGGCCGTTTTCGGTGTGCTTTTATCGTGTAATAATAATAATAATCTTAATCCATCACGACGGTACGTTATTACACGCGTCGCAGTCAGGTGGCGACGGATCGTGCGAGAACTAAACGACCGTGGCAGCGGAGACGTTTATCGCGCGATGGTATAATGATCCGTTTCCGCGAGGTCTGTCCGCAATTTTACCGCGGAACGACAATGCGCGCGCTACTGCGACAATCGTACAACGACCGTGGATGTGTCGTGCCATCGGAGCCATTTTTAGGCCACACATGAGGCCCTAGCGCCCGATACGTGTAGAATGACTGTAAATACAAGAATTGTGATATGCGTATTTTTTTCCGCGCATTATTATTATTTAATAGACTCGATTGTAAAACTGTAAAAACGTGGTATTTCGTTACGAACGGTTTGGAAATCCGTGATCCTTCAACAAAGCCCGGGGCCCTCGGTCCATACCCGAAGACGGGGCACTGCCGTACTGTTTTTGTTCGTATTTTTTAATCCGTTTCGCTCGGTAGAGCCTAACGCGACCGCAGCAGCCCCGGTGCGATAACGCGAACACCGACGGTCGTAAAAATCGCGCATCGCGGAATAACACGCGCAAACCGCTGGCCCATAAACGCCGGACGTCAACCGCTACCGGACGGACAAGGGTTTCCCGTGGTCGGCGATCAATGTTTCCGATCGACGGTCGTTTTGTTATCGCGGTCATAGCCCGGGACGACCCGATAACATTCGTCGCGTGGTCGAGATCGGGTTCGACGTGAAATTTTCGGTCGTTTTTTCTTCTTTTAATCCGGCAGGGCCGAGCCCGCGCGAAAACCCTAATCGGTGACGTGTCCTCCTCGCCCCCCCCCCCCCC